GTTCCCTCATATGTCAAAGAAAAACTTCTACATCTTAAACCACAGATAACCAGACAGTAATAGTGGGAGTCTTCAACACTCCACTCTGACCACTGGACAGGTCTGCCAGACAGAAAATTAACAGAGAAATAAGGGAACTAACAGATGTTATGACTCAAATGGACTTAACAGACATCTATAGAACATTCCATCCAAACATGAAAGAATATACCTTCTTCTCAGCACCTCATGGAACACTCTCAAAAACTGACCACATACGAGGTAACAAAGCAAACCTCAACAGATTAAAAAAAATGGAATAACCATATGTATTTTATCTGACCACCATGGCTTAAAATTAGAATTCAACAACAACACTAATTCCAGAAAGCCCACAAACACATGGAAATTAAACAATGTTCGCCTGAATCATCAATAGGTCAAGGAGGAAATAGAGGAAGAAATTAAAGACTTCCTAAAATTCAGTGAAAATAAATACAGCATACCCAAATTTATGGGGCACAATGAAAACAGTGTTAAGAGGAAAATTCATAGCACTAAATGCCTACATAAAGAAGCTGGAAAAAAAAATCTCATGTTAGTGAGTTAATAGAACAACTGAAAACTCCAGAACAAAAAGAAGCAAACTCACCCAGGAGAACTAGACGGCAGGAAATAATTAAAGTGAGAGCTAAAATCAACAAAATAGAAACAAAGAAAACAACCCAAAGAATCAATGAGACAAAGAGTTGGTTCTTCGAGAAAATCAACAAAATAGACAAACCTTTATCCAAACTAACCAAAAGGCAGAGAAAGAATATCCAAATTATCAAAATCAAAAACAAAAAAGGCGACATAACAACAGACATGGAGGAAATCCATATTTCGGAAACCTGTACTCCACAAAATTGGAAAAGTTAAAGGAAATGGACAATTTTCTGGATAAATATAACTTACCAAAATTAAATCAAGACCAGGTAAGCAAACTAAACAGACCTATAACTTCTAAAGAAATAGAAGCAGTCATCAAAATCTCCCAACCAAGAAAAGCCCAGGGCCAGATGGCTTCAGCTCAGAACTCTACAAGATTTTCAAAGAACTAATACCAATACTCCTCAAACTGTTCCACACAATAGAAACGGAAGGGACATTGGCGAACTTTTTATGAGGCTACAATTATCCTGATGCCCAAACCACACAAAGACATTACTAAGAAAGTGAATTACAGACCAATCTCACTCATGAACATTGATGCAAAAATACTAAATAAAATACTGCTGAACCGAACTGAGCACAGAGCCCCACTCAGAGGAGCTCAAATGTTTCTGAGTGACTAAGATGGATGAGGGTTGTGCTGGTTTGAATGAGAACTGGTCTCTGATGTGGGAGTGATTTCTTATTAATAAAGAAACTGCCTCGGCCCTCATAGGACAGAAAATTAGGTAGGCGGAGTAGACAGAAGAGAATTCTGGGAAAAAGAAGCTGAGTAAGAGTCGCCATGATGCTCCCACTCCAGACAGACGCAGGTTAAGATCCTCTCTGGTAAGCCAGCTCATGGGCTACACAGAATATTAGAAATGGGTTAGAACAATATGTAAGAGCTAGCCAATAAGAAACTGGACCTAGCCGGGCCAGGCAGTGTTTGAAAGAATACAGTTTCCGTGTAATTATTTCTGGGTATAAACTAGCCATGCGGGCGGCTGGGTGCCGGGGACGCAGCCCTGCCGCTCCTATTTCAACAGGTCTCAACAGGCTCATATATTTCAATGTTTGGTTCCCAGTTGGTGCATTGGTGGGGAAAGGTTAGGTGTGGCCTTGGTAGAGAAGGTGCCTCACCGGGAGTGGGCAGACTTTGAGTTTCAAAAGCCCCTGCCAGGCCCAGTCTAGAGCTCTCTGGATAAGAAGTGAGCTCTCAGCTCCTGCCCCAGTGCCATGCCTACCTGCTTGCTGCCATGCCTCCTGCTATGATGGCCATGGACTCACCCTCTCAAATTCTAAGCCAGACCCCAATTAAATGCTTTCTTTTCTAAGTTGCCTCAGTCATGGTGTTTTATCACAGTAACAGAGCAGTGGCAAAGGCCGGCTACATGCTCAGATGCCCCTGAAAGAAGGCAGTGGGCTCTGAAAGCTAAGGAAAGAGCTCTCAACAGTGCAGTCAAACAAGCCATCAACTGACCCATGTAATCACCTGCTGTGCAATCAATCGATGATGTGATCACCAGCTGTGCAGCTGATGATGTGATCACAAACTGTGCTATGACAAGGCATAGTGGGAAAGCAGAGCTCACTTGACCACAGTGTCACTGTCAAGGGAGCCCCTCCCACTGAGTCTTTTTTTCTTCTCTTGCTTTGTACTTTCTTAAATTGGTGACACCTACTCTGGAGGACAATTTCACATTAATTGCATTTAAGTAAGGGCTTGTACACACAATGTTGTTGATGATTACAACTGTCAACCAGAAAAATTATAAAATATAAGACAGATAAATTGGAATTATAATTGTGTGGAGGATGGAGGAGAGGATCAAGGTTAGCAGAAATAATGTCATCAAATCATGAAGAAGCAGAAGAACATGGAGAAAATTCTCTAGCTATTAAGATTCTGAAGGTGTGTGTAGATGAGGTAAAAACATCAGATGGAGAGATGACTGGGTGGGTAAGAGAGCTTGTTTCAGAAACATGATGACCTGAACTCAGATCCTCAGCATTCATATGAAAAGCCAGGCAGGGCAATATGTTGTTGACCAAGTTTTTTGTCCCACCAGGTCCAGCAGTCATTAAGTCCCAAAGAAATACACAGAGGTCTACATTAATCATAAACTGATTGGCCTATTATCTCAGGCTTCTTGTTAACTCTTTCTTACATCTTACATTAGCCCATTATTCTTGTCTGTGTTATCCACATGGCGTGGTACCTTTTTTTTTAGCAAGGCAGTCACATATTGCTTGCTTTGTATCTGGCTTCCTCTGTGTCTGGGTGATGACTGCAGACTTTGTCTTTCCTCTTCCCAGAATTCTCCTGTTCTCATTGCCCCACCTCTACTTCCTGCCTGGTTGCCCTGCCTATACTTCCTGCCTAGCTACTGGCCAATAAGCGTTTTATTAAAATACAAGTAACAGGGCACAGACAATTGTCCCACAGCAACATGCAAAGCCAACAACCCCAGCACTGCTGGGGATGGGACACAGACAGGAGGGTCACTGAGGCTTGCCGATCAGTCAATCTAGCCAAAATGCCAATCTCCAGGTTTGCTGAAAAACCCTGTGTCAGAGTAATAAGACTCAGAGTGATGGAGTAGGCCACCTAACATCCTTCATAGGCACACAACTTGGACACACACACACACACCACCCCCACCACACATTTCCTAAAGGTGAAAGCATGTACAGACCTAAACAAGACCAGTGCCTTGTCACCTGTGACTAGATATGACCTCTGAGACCCTAAAGCATGAAGAGACGGCACAACGGGCACTTTCCTGACAAGGTCACCCAAAGCCTGTCCATCTAGTTCTCCTTTTGTCCCTTGAGAGAGGGCTGGCCACCACGCTGTGTGAAGCAGTGTCCACTCATGAGTGTGTAACTGAGTAGACTGCTTTCTAGTATCAAGAGTTTAAAGTGGTGGATCAGGTCAGCCAGCTGCTTCCTGTCATCCTGGCCGTCTAGCTCCTTACATCAGGCCCACAGGAGATTTCTGGAAGGTTCCTTTAGAGCAGAGAAGAATGAGCAAGGACATTGGCATTTGGGGTCCCAGGTAGCTCTCTTTGTCCTGCAGTGGCCCCTCAGGATGTCTCTGCTGCCTGTAACCAGCTGGGACTGGAGTGTGCCTGCTTCCTCTTCTCAGCTAGGCCTACCTCACTGAAGATGGACCAGTCCTCTCTATCCCAGATGCCGCAATGACAGAATCCAAACCAAAGAGCCAGGAGTAAACTTGTGAAAACTTGCAGTAGTGCCCTTGATCTTGCTCTGCCCTTCTGGAAGGTAGCTCTCTGCCAGATGCAGCATGGTGTCCCCAGGGGACAACCTCCTTTCCCTGTCAGTGCCCCATTCTGTGCTCTTAGGACCTCAGCATTGTGACCGGAGTTACTAGACAAGGCATTGAGTATCAAGTATGTACACCTTCAAATGAACAATTTAAAAACAAAAAAATAAAAGGAAGTCCTAAATATTTCCTGGAGCACCCTTCTACTACAAAATAAATTGTGCTGGTGGCTCGTCAGAAATTTAATTTTTACTAGGCATCCTCCACTTTTTATTTGCTAAATTTGACAACTCCCCTTTCTTATTCAAGAATAATACGTATTTGTAGAGTACATAGTTTGAGCTGTGTGGGTGCTTTGCATCCGTTAGCAAATGGCCCTCCTTTGGGAAATAAGATCTTGCTATAAGCCCTGCTGGTTCAGATTTTGCAGTAATCCTCCTGCCTCTGCTTCCCAAGTTCGGTTACAGGCATGTGTGGCCCTTACTGATACAGTTCACAGTTTTAGAAGTTGAAGTCTAAGGTTGATTGGCCTCATCTGTTTGACCTTTAGGTCAGGGCCCCTTGACTAGGTCAAATGACAGAGAAACAGAAAAGAGACCTATCCACTATATGCAAAAGAGGCCAAGGGCACAGGCTAGCCTCATGTAATAAAATCCCCTGCCCAGGGGCACTGGGATCCCTTGAGAAATACTCGTCTTCCTGAGAGTGATTTCTATGACCTAACCTCCTTGTACTAGGCCTTGCCTCTTGAAGGTTTACCATTTCAACATGGCCTCACCAAGGAACAAGGCTCCAGCACAGAAATCTTTGGGGAACAACTGCCCCCAAAGCATTGGCTGAGGCATAGGAGTGGGGTGAGACAAGGACCAAGCCAGTGCTGTGGCCACTGATGCAGCCAACATGGGGCACCTGGGAACTGTGGTAGGGCTGGGACCCACCGCTCAACTCCTGTACCACCTGTCTAATATTTGTGTTTATGATGATTGGGAGAACAAACTTCAGCCACCAGAAGAGATGGATGGAGCCCATGGCTTGGAGACACGAAAAGATGGAGACTTTATTTAAATACATTTTAATGAGAAGTAGGCCAGTTTTATATGTAAAAATATTTTGGTTAATGTAGAACCACTCACCCATTAATTCTGTTGTGTGTGTGTGTGTGTGTGTGTGTGTGTGTACTCATACATGGCAATGTCCTTCTTTCAGATATGTCTTTGTGAAAACCCACCCATCTCTATATTTGGTCATCACGGCCTTTTCCTGCGCCCCTGGTCTACTGCCAAGGTATAGTCCGACTTCATTTCTTTATTCATTCTTGAAGAATTGCAAATCCTCTTCGTTCAGCAGCCCCTTTCCAGTCTCCCTAGACCAGAGGTGGAGTGACGGGTGGGTCCTGAGGTATCATCTGGAGCCAGGCTTCACAGTTCTGAGGCCAAAGGGTAGGAGAACTTGTACATGGAGGAGCTGCAGAAGTGGAAGACTGCAAAGGCCAGGATCCCCAGCAGCAGGAGGGCTCCCAAGGCTCCGAAGAGGATCCCAAAGAAGGCTCCAAGTTTCACACTTAGGTGCTCGCACTGTTCACCCCAGGATGTATAGATGGTGAAGGACGCACAGCTGGGGACAGAGAGAAGCGTGATGAGCGAGGATGCAGGCATAGCCTGCTCGGGCTTCCTCTCCTGGGGACCAAGGGCTGTTATCCAGGATAAGGCAGGGCTATCCCCGGGTGGAGGATCCAGTTTGCCCGAGGCCAGCTAAAGAAGGGAAGTCACCAGCTAAAGAAGGGAGACGTGTGTAGCACATTCTACCCCACCTGGATGGCCCAGAAGGGTGGGGTACCCATATAGTCACAAACCCATCCCCTTATTCTCCCAAAGGATGGGCTCCATCCTCCACTCAGCCCAACTCCTTTGACCAGTCCTGGACTAAGTGAGTCAAGAGTAAACAGAGGACACTGGGCGGCAAGCCCCTGTGTCACTGCTGACATATAGTTCTCTCCTTGGGGAGACGCTCAATTTGCTAACAACCTAAGGATCCAGCTTCAGGGGTGTCCCCAGACTGAACGCTCTTACAAAGGGGCAGAATCAGGACCAGACCTGGACAGCGGGTTCCTTTCTACAGGGTTGGAGGGCATCCATCTTCAGGAGGCTCTAGTACTTCCTGGGAGGCCCCTGGGCGCCCCCTGGACCCTCGCTGCTCTACTGTGCAGTTTTCTCATCTCCAGGATGGTTGGAGTACCCTCTGCGACTAGCCTGGGCTTCAGAAGCAATGCATGTCTTTTCTTCTCCACACGGAGGAGCGGCACCTGGCCTCCTCTCACCTCCCCTGTCCTCTGCTTCTTGTCCCCCGGCTACTAGGGAGTCATCCCAGTGTCGTGCATTGGGAAGGACAGTGCCTTCCTGAACCTATTGTGCCCCACCCAGCTTGTGTTCCCCAGTACTATCCTCTCCTGCCCCAGGCCTCTACCCACCTGCATTGAGGCCCGTTTGGTAGGTGCTGGCATTGGCCTCCATTGTGACAGTAGCCCTCACTACACGGGGACACACAGGTGACACCGCTCTGGGGGCTGTAGACCAGCTTGTAGCCCTCGTAGCCATCACACAGGAAGTAATAGTCCAGCATACTCAGGTTCACTGTAGGCAGGACAAAGACACATATAGAACAAGCAAACAGTGGGGGTATTTCATGCCTTTTTCACTGAGAAGTCAAATGTCAGGTGCTTATCCTGAGAAACAATCGGTTGAGTGCACAGATACCTGTATCTGTGGGTACTCAGTTCTACAGGGTTGATCCAATCAACAGTGAGTTGGGGCGCTTAGCAAATAAATTACTGTAAAGCCCTAGGGGTTGTCACCAAGGGGGTGACAGTTTTCAGGGTCTGAAAACGCCAGTAGTGACGAGCACACGCTCAGAGGTTAGCCAAACCTCATATTCTCCGAATGACCAGCTATGTGATGGGGACCTTTCCTAAGTGATAAATTTCATTCAGAGATTGCAAACCTCAGAGCTGACTTAACCTGCTGCCTCTTCAACTGCAGACCTGCATGTGGGGCCACATACTTTCTACTGGGGCTTGATGTGGCCCTCGGGTCTGTGACGGCTCCTCTAGCTACTTCTCTCCTCTTCCCCGTTGTCTGGATATTGTCCCCAAGATAGAGTGAGCGACTCACTGGCCGTCACATCATGGATATCTGCCCTGGAGATGGGGAAGAAGGTGACGTTCCTCCTGGCTTCAGGGTTGCTCCTCTTCGGCCGCCCACTCCGAGCCTGGAGGAGGAAGGCCTCCACCACAGCGTCTATGAGCTGGTGGTTCAGGAAATGGATGACAGGCCCTCTGGGACGGTACTGGAAGTGGGAGACGACCCGCCAGTGTTGAATTGACTTGTCAGAGGGCTGTGCTGAGGGAGAGCTGTGTGGGAGGGTAACAGTGAGGGTTTGAGGGGCAGGGGAGAGGAGAGGGGCGTCATGGAGGGACAGCCTCACTTACATTCGCGTCAGTTCCACTTGGCTGTTCCAGAGAAAAGCCCGCACGTCCAGGGTCCCTAGCCTGTATGCCACCTACAATGGGGGAAAATGAGAGGGGGGATGAGAGGACAGGCTGAATGAGAATCAGAAAGGCCCCACCCACCTTTGAATGCAAGGCCTAGGAGCCCCGGAGCCCATCTCTTCTCACCTGAGACTGGCCTGGGTCCCAGCTTAGTAAATATTCAATGGGTAAGGGATGAGGCGTTTTCCCCCCAGCATTGCCAGGGGAACCTCTGAAACAAACACCTCTGCTTGGCCTCCGATCCCAGCCCTTCCTCTCCCCTCATATGTACCAAACACAAATTGTTTAGCTAAGATCCCAGCACGGCCCAGTGCCAGGAATGCCAAGGTGACTCAGGAGCCGTTTATTTCAAAGAGCCTGCAGTTAAGGGCAGCAGACGGATGTCAACACATCTGATCAGTTGAAGTTGAGCCTCAGGGTGCCAATAGTAATAATCACTTTGAATGTCTGTTGTGGTTTGGTTCTAAATGTTTTATATGCTTTGTCATTTCAGTGTTAATACGGCCTGATGACGGGTACTCTTTACGCTATCCCCGTTTATACACAAAGCTGCTCTAAATAAGCTTGTCCAATTGTTACGCCTGCTCTAGGAAGCCGCAGGGCAGAGATTTGTGTCCCTGTGTAAGGGGTCTAGAGTTTCCACCGTTCACTAATTCACCTACTTTGCTTGGAGCTATCGACAAGGTCATGCTATGGCAGTTCCCTTTGGGAAGTCGGGTGGAGGTGACTTCTTCTGTATAGCAGCCAGGAAGTGTGAATCATGAGAGGTGCCCAGAAGACAGGCTGGGGTGACATGTCACCCTAGAGTCTTCTCAGGGCAAGCTGTGATTCTAATACATGCCATGGTCTCTAATCCTGAGGCTTCCCGATGTCCAAGGCCCTTGGCCCGCCCCTGGCAAGAGGCTCCCCTCCTTTGGGAAATTAAGGTCGTCGAAGGATGTGCACTAACGTTATAACACAGCCCCCACGGGGAACTTGCAAGATCCGTTTCCCACTGGGAGCCCAGCAAGCAACACTGACCGAGGCGTTGACATCAGCCTGGGAGGCGTTTTCATTTTCCCTGAGCGAGAGCTCGATGGTCCTCAAGGGAAGCTCTGGAAAGGGAGAAGCAGGACCCATCGTCACCCCCAGGGACTTCTCAGCCCTCATTAGCTCTCCCTAGCCCAAACTCACCACATGGAAGGAAAACTCAGTTCCAACCTGGGTGTTTGGGGGAACTTGGGCCTCAGACACTGGTTTTCCCAACATTCCCAGCCAGGCGGAAGAGACACGTGAGGCTGGTAGGGATGGCAGGAGGATTTAGCCATACCTTTAGAGATGGTGGGAGTGAAGTCGTTCCCAGCCAGGAAGCAGCGGGTATCAGTGAAGGCTGGGGGGCAGGTGCAAGTGGGCTGGCAGCCGGGAGCCTCAGAGATGTAGCAGTGGCCGTGGTTATAGCAGTAATTCGTAGGGCAGGAATGGCTCTGGCAGACTAAAGAGTCTTCGAGAGCTGTCAAGGGGGCAGGACAGTCAGCTGAAGGAGATGAACCCTGACCCCCAGAATATCGTGGGTTTTGTGTGTTTGTTTTCTCCCATGCCCAATCTGTGCTGGGCTCATGGGCTACTCTGAACCCTAACTCGTCTTTCCCTCCTCCTTCTCCAGGCATTTCTCTATAACCTTTTCCCTTCTCCCAGGTAAGCCTTCTCCCACTTCTGCAGAGGCTGTGGCATGCGGCTCATAGCGCTCTCGTCAGAGAGGGACCCAGAAAGCTGGCGAGAAGGATCCCAGTCTACTTCCGCCCTCACACGGTCAAAGACAGTGGTCTCCTGACTCCACTCGTCTGCCTCCAAGGACTGGAGAGGCCACACTGTCATCTCTGGTATGTGGCTACTGTGGCTCAGAGGAAGAAATGCAGGTGGGCAGGAAAGAAGTCAAAAGAGAATGTAGGTTCCTCTGTCATTTAGGGTCCCATGGTGACACTTCCAATGTCCTGACTTGAAAGAAGCAGAGCCCCTGAGCCCTGTGTCTCTGAGGATGCCCAGGTGCCCGAGAGTCCCGCTTACCTCAGGTCCCCCACCCTTCTCTACCAGTCTTTCCCCATGTTTCCAACAGCAGGATCTCACAGCTGCTCTGTTCCAGCCCGACCCTCAGCATCTGCATCCCCTCCTCTGGCCCCACGCCATCCACCATCCCCTTCTAAGCCCTCCTACCACAGCTTATTGTGGGGGATTTGAAGACGTGTTGCTAAAGACAGACACACCAGTTTGTTTTTGTCTATCACAGATCCTTTGCCTATCACCTGGACCCAGAACCTGGTAACCTCCTCTTGCCAGGACCCTGTCCCAGCTCACCTGCACAATGCCGCCCATCTCCAGTCATGTTCGGAGGGCAGGGCCCACAGCCCTTCCCAGGAATGCAGGTCACCTTTGGGAAGCATGGAACCTCACAGAGGTTCTTGGAGCGTTCACAGAAGCGGCCAAAGGAGTCCTCATCGCACTTACAGCTGGTCACCTGAATAACAGCAGGGGGCTGGTGGCCACAAGCTAAAGGACTTCTAGTATCTCTGCCTGACACTTCAGCCGTGAGAAGGCCTGCTTGTGTCAGCCTCTACAGGACAGGACTGGGAGTCCCTGCCCATAGCTACACCATCCCCTCCCTGCCTCTGCAGTAGGCTCTCAGCCTCTCCTGTCCCACACTCTTCCTCCTTTCTTGGAATCCCTGATAGAGTGAGACAGGGGAAGAAACAGAGAGGAAAGAGAAACAAGCAAAGAGACAAAGCAGAAATGGGGCAAGAGCTGTGAACTTGGGTCATGAAACTTGACCACAAACATGGATGGAGAGAATTTTCTCCCAAGAAAAAGAGAGGTGCTTCCTTGATTAGAGGGAAGCAAACAGAGGAGCTGTAGGTCTCAAGACAACACCCACCCTCTCTTCCCAAGCCCGAGGAGATGGTTGTGGGGAGCTACTCTCTATTACACCCTATGAGGGTTTGTAGTGTCGGAGCCCAGCAGTCTCTGGTCGGGGATGAAGGCGGGGCAGCTTGCGGGAGGCTATGGACCTCTCTCCAGAGTGCACAGAGCTTCCCGTCCTGCACCTTGCTGCTGCGGTGGGGACTATGCGAAAGGCTGAGGTTAGCATTTCTAAGCCTGACAGGGTGTGAGGTGGAGCACAAATCTCTCTTGTGCTCTGAGCAGTGATGAAAGTTCCTCTTCCCAGAAGATGGGCTCCTGCGCTCCTCACCACCACAGCTCCACCCTCCACACACGCATCTTGCCCAGGGGAAAGCATGCTCTCCGCATCCCTCCATCTGCTCCCCCTCCCCCGCAACCATTAGAGAAGCCCTCCCTAGTTCCCACTACTCACCTCAAGGGAAGAATTGCCCTCCCTGCGGGTCTCGTTGTACAAACACTGCCTCTCCATACTGCAGAAGCAAGCCACAGTCCTGGGCTGGAATACGGATGACAAATGAGTCCTAGCGTCCCTTGCTAGAATCTCCAGGGTACATGCTTCTGGAAGTGCTGGTGTCCACAGCAAACTCCCTTTATCTGTCCAGAGAAAAAGAGACCTCGATGGCTGGGAGATCCTCTGCTCTGTGGTCAATGCATGCTGGGGTCGAACACCCTGCTTCTCCCTGAATTCTGAATGCCACCAGGCATCCTTTTGAGCAAAGACACAATTCCCTAATTCCCCCCCACAGGGCTGGAATTCCTAGGGTGATGGCAGTCATGCTCTAAGCTGGAGGGAGGCGGCACCTGCTGAACGAGCTGGGGTGCTGGGTGTAGGTAGAAATAGGAGAAGGCTGCTCCCCTCCCACTAGCGTGAAGAGGCTGCTAAGCGCATCTCTGCCTGAGCCTGTACTGGGATGGGTCTTGCTTGGTGTCAGTGTCCGCTTAACGCTTCCCAAACCGCAGGCTGGAGCGGCTTCGTCTCCCAGCACCTCCTTTCTGCCTTCTCACCGTCCTCTCCTCTGACTTCCCAGGCCTTGACCGCTACCTTATCAGACGTCAGACTACGGGGAGTAGACAGCAGGTTGGAGGGAACAAAGAGTAAGGATGGTGGAGTGGACTTCACACCATCACCCAGGAGAGGAGCCCAGGCTGGCAGGAAGCCTTGTAATGCCATTGTGTACCAAGGCAGTGCCATATGGAACAAAGGAGATGTAGACAAGGTGTCCCAAAATGAGACCGATCGGTGATGAGAGCCCAGAGGAAGGTCCCTGATGACTCTGGTTTAGCAAAGGAAGTCGCTATTCCTCCTGCTTTAGCCCACCGAGTCACAGCTACTGGCCTAGGTTCTCAGACACCATTACTAACCGGGGAAGATGTGCTGTGCTGTCCTAATCCGGAAAGTCAGAGGAGAAAGAAAGTTGGATAAGCTTGGCTAACCACTGGAAAAACAACAAAAAGTACCAATAAAGGTATTTGTATTTTTTTTAGTCTTATTCCACAGTGTGTTATTCTTTTAGTAGCTATGGTAACGCTGTAAACTTATGGCTCTTATTCCATTTCTTTATTTTGTGTCATGTGGGAGCATGTATGCATGCCGTAACATTTATAGGGAGGTCAGAGGACAGCCTGTAAGAGTTGGTGCTTTCCTTCCACCATATGGGGCCCAGGATGAAAATTAGGTTATCAGGCTTGGTGGCAAGTGCTTTCACCTGCTGAGATTCTCATCAACCCTGTAAACTATTATTGTTATTATTATTATTTTGAGGAGACAGGGTTTCTCTGTGAGCCCCAGCTGTCCCAAAACTCACTCTGTAAACCAGGCTGGCCTTGAATTTGGAGATCGGCCTGCCTCTGTCTCTCAATTCTGGGATTAAAGGTGTTCACTAACACTGCCAAGCTAAACTAGTATTTTTAATGGTCATACTTGATCATTCTAATGATCTGGCAAATGATCCATGATGGTTAAAAAGATACATATAACTGGGCATGGTAGCTTATAATCCCAAGGTACAGAGGCAGGCAGATCTCTATATGTTCAAGGCTAGGCTGTTCTATGTGAGGGACCATTCTCCTAAGAATGTTTGCAGAGAGCCCCACATCCCAACTATCTTGAGAACTGCTTGTTAACAGAACCACAAAAGAATGTTTCCGCTTACACAAAATACACCAGGTGTGCTAACTGGTGACCTTTGCTACCCCCTACCCCCCACCCCAAGCCAAGTTCCCCATTCAAGAGCTATATAAGCTGTAACCATTACCCTAATAAACGGAGACCTTGACAATTGAATTCTGCTTGATCTCCTTTTCTCTCACCCATGATTCATACAGGTAGAGCCCCTTCAGACCCTGAATAACTGGACCTGATGGACGGGTCAGTTCTACACAGTAAGTTCTAGGACAGCCAGAGTCAGATAGTGAGACTCTTGTCTCAAAAAAAAAAAAAAAAAAAAAAAAAGCAAGCGTTTTATTAGATGGAAGTAAATGACCTTTGCATTAGCTCTGTGTGCCCAGAGTAAGTCTACCTATTTAGTTCCGTCTACCTAAACCTCTTACTGCTACTCATTTGGGGAGGGAACCACCTATTTGAACTATAGCTACCTTTTTAAGCTTGGGACCATGTGTCATTCTGTATCCCAGACTGGTCTTGATCTCATGCAATCCCCCTTCCCTTATGATGACAGGCTTGAGCTGCTATAGCCAGCTAGCTATCTAAGCAAGTCTGTTTCTCAGGGCCTGGAGAGATGGCTCTGTGACTCAGAGGACACACTGCTGTTTCAGAGGACCAGAGTTCGATTCCCAGCATCCACTTCAGGTGGCTCACACTGCCTATAACTCCAACTCCAGGGGATTCCAACACCTCTGGCAGGTTTCAGCACCTGACCCTATGTGCACATACCCTATACACCCAGGAGCATAATTAATATTAATTAATATTAACAAAAAGTATTTTCAAAAGAAATGCTGTTTTCTCAAGTCAGATGTGGTGATACGTTCTTGTTCTAGTTTCATTTCTGATGCTGCCCTAAAATACCCAGAACAAAAGCTTGGGCTGGGAAATGGGAGTGGGAGAAGGAGAGAGAAACAAAATGGGGAGAGGAGGTGGAAGCAGGGAAAACATTGGTTGGTCCTGGCTACTCAAATGGACAGGTGACAGGTTAGTGAGCAGACTGAAGAAATGCAAGACAGCCCAAGTTGACTCGGGCCTCTCAGCCCCTACCCCATGCTATTGCCAGCCAAAGATTCTTACCAGAGAGTTTAAAGCCACTACACTCATTGGTGAGGCTGAATGTGACATCCTTAGAGTCGCTGGTGATCGTAATGATCTCCGTCCACCCCTTGTAGGCTTGAATCTGGCTGGGGCAGTGGATAGAGGGCGGGTACTGATCTGAAACAGAGAGACGCGGCAGAGACTAGCTATGTGCAGGACGCTCTCCTGCCTTCCCTTTCTGCTCCCTTTCTCCATGACTCTTCCTACAAGCCCTTCCCAAGCCCGGGGCCCACCTCCCGAGCAGGACTCAGTCTTCCTGCTCTGCAAACTTTAGACTCCCTTTTCCAACCTCCTCCTCAAACTGGATCATTTCTTCCCTAAACAGAATGCCACGCTGGGCCTTGGGAACAGATGGTTGGTTTTTACCCCAGGAAGAACCGAAAGCCATGGGGGTGATCTGTAAATGGACATTCCATTTTCCAACTCTCCCAGTGCTGTTTCTTGGAAGCCTATTATTTCCAGTCCATTGCTCATTAATTCATTCCCTTAACAGATTTATCAAGCACATGATATAGGTATGGCACTAATCTCTATAGCCATGAACAGTGACGGAAAAAGAGGCCTAAGGGAATCATAAATTATAAAACGCACTGAGTAGTTATAAATACTAACAAAAATAATCAGGAAAAGCGTGTGAATGGAGAAGAAAAATGAGACAAGGCAGCCCAGAGGGCCTTGCTAAGCAGGCAGTGTTGAATAATGAGAGAGAACACGCCTGTGGCCATCTGCAGAGAGAGCCTTGCAGGCAAGAGAGAGGCATGTGGAAAGTTACCAGTGAGCCCAAAGAAGCCCATGGGGTGGAGGAGAGGGGACAAGAGGGGAGTGTCAGGAAAGGGCTTCTGAACGAGGGAGGGGACAGACTGCACTGGGCAGTGAAGGGAAGGCTGTCGAGGGCCTGAGTGAGCTGGGAGCTGTCAGAGGCTTTGATCCATTAAAGGAATAAAAATGCAGAACTTGAAGGAGTGTCATGAAATGGAGTCCTCGCCTGCTTTCTGTCTCCGGAAAGGCCCCTCGGTGCCTCCTGTCACTTACTGAGAGTGCCATTCACGAGCTGGAATGCCTCAAAGATCATGTTGGTATATTGTCCGATGGTTGTGTTTCCTGTGGCCAAGGCGTCAAACTTGCACTGTGGGTCTCCGTGGCACCCAGAGGTCACTTCTTCATTTGAGGTGTTCAACAGTTGAGACAAGAAGACGGGAGTGAAGTTGGAAGGCAGAGAGTCTGTCCTCACCCCAAGCAGTCCTGTCCCATTGATTTGCCCTATAACGCAGGAGTTACGACGACGGTGTGAGACGCCAGCCATGTTTTAGTTGTGCTTGCCCCTAGTCCTCATGATGGGTGAGGGGTGAGGCATGGGATTTGGTGAGGATGAGAAGGCTTCTGGCTTCTGAGTCTGGAAATGTCTGCTTCAGTGAGGGAAGGACACCCACCCCCTTCCCCACATCCCAGGAGGGACATACAGGTGAAGTGGAGGTGGGGACAAATGTGGGGCAGTGGCAAAATCTTTGGACCTTGCCAAGGGTGACTAAGGTCCCCACAAATACAATGGAGACAGTACAGCAGCCTCCTCATTGACCTGCCCCAGTGGCCTTAGGACCCCAGACTCACATGTCATTCCATAGTGAAAAATGGTCTCCTCAGAGCTGTGGGCAGGGATGGTGGAGCCATTGGGCATCCTGAAGTCATCTTCCAGATTGTCATTCCAGACTCCTGTGGGAAAGAGCAGGAGGTTCGTCTCCACAGGAAGGTGGTGTCCGCTCTCCAGGGTACATCTGACAAGACAGCTGCATCTGTCCCAGTTCAGGTCCCAGGAGGTGGGAGAGGACCATACGCTCACACTGCACCTTTGTGCTTTAGAGAGGGAGAAGAGAACCGGGAAGGATGTGGGGAACAATGAGAGGAAGGAGGCGATGAGGGTCAGAAAAGGAAATGTAGGTGTGGAGGGAGGGAGTGGGCAGCTGGGCGGGCCCCCACCTTTCCCATAGAGTGCCTCCTTCAGATTCCCTTGAAGAGATGGCAGACAAACAGGAAGTTAGCCTCAACAGTGGGTGAAGCAGCCTCCTCTGAGCCCTGGGGCACTGAGGAAAAACTGGGAGTGGAGTCAAAGGCCCACAGGAGAGACAGCTGCCTGTGCAGGGTCTGAGCTCCTTTCTTACCCAGGAGTCCCTGCGTGTGGTTGCGGTACTCCTCGGGGAGGCTGGAGGAGGCATGGAGGATGTTGGAGAGAGCAATCACGGAGATGGTCACTGTTCCGTCAAAGCTGGCTGAAACCTGGGAGCCATTTCGGGTCAGGAGGACACCAGTGGTATTGAACATTGGCAAGTCTGGAAGATAGGGGGACAAGTGACACCCCACCAGCACGCCTCTTGGGCCTACGACTCAGCAGCAATGAAGGCTTATGACACAGAGGGCACTTGGAATCCTGTCTGTGCCTCGACTAAAGGTCCCATGCCACCCAATCCAGCCTCTAGACACTTCCTTCTGCGGTAAGAAACGAGGAAATTTCAGTTCCCTGGGCTGGGTGAAGAAAGCCCTTCTAATGCAACAGTTGAAGGGACAGAGAGGCGGAGTGTAAACATTCTGTTTTGCTGGGTGTTGCAGCCTCCCCCAGCACACCACTCCCAGGGGGCTGAGCTCCTGCTGAAACCAGAAGATGTGGGGCCGGGTGCTGAGGCTACTGAGCCTACCTTCATCCGTGTAGCTGGTGTTAAAGGTCACGGTCTGGTTATTGTGTACAACTCGGATTGTGTCATTGGGTTCCAGGAACCACTGAACCTGGAAAGGAATTGAAGGAAGCCTGAGAGGAACACGAGCAGGCAGGGCAGAGGCCTGGAAATAAGGCTCTGGAGAGCAATTCAAGGCTATAATCCAGGCCAGTGGAAGAGGTAGGTGACGGACAGGGCAAACTGTGAGGATGTGTGTGGAGGGAGCTCAGTGGGAGTCAGGCTGTCTCACAGCAGCCCTGCGGAGCAGACAATATTGTCCCTGCCCTATTGTCCCCATTGTGCTATGAGAAAACAGTGACACTGTAAGCTTTTGTCAAGGTTGAACAGCCAGTAAGAGACCTATGGTGATTCTGCCTCTCTACGTTTTACTCTTCTCTCTCAGCTATAGTTGTGTCCTCTCTCCCTTTGTTCCAGGATGTACGATCACCATGGAAACACATCTCTGGATGTGTCTACGTGAGTGTTTCCTGAAATCTTTAACTGAGCGCCAAACTGTGAGCCAAAATAAACCCTTCATCCTAGTTGGATTACTATTTTTGTGATGAAAAGTCATGACCAAAGCAGCTTGGGGAGAAAGGGTTTATCAGGCTCACACTTCCACATCATTGTTCATCACTGAAGGAAGGCAGGACAGGAACTCAAGCATGGCAGGAACCTGGAGGCAGGAGCTGATGCAGAGGCCATGGAGGTGTGCTGCTTACTGCCTTGATTCCCAGGGTTTGCTCAGCCTGCTTTCTTAGAGAAGCCAAACTACCAGCCCAGGGATGGTACCACCTACCATGGACTGGGCCCTCCTACATCAGTCACTAATCAAGAAAATGTCCAGGATAAGCTCCAAAGCAACAGAGAAACCCTGTTTCAGAAAAACCAAAACTGAAAAGAAAGAAAGAAGAAAGAGAAAAAGAAAAAGCCCTACAGGTTTGCCTGCAGCTCAGTTTTATGGAGACATCTTCTTAATTGAGCTTCCCTTCTCTCAGATGGTTGCTTTATCACGTTGACGTAAAACTAGCCAGCACACTCTTCCTTCCTTAAGCTACTCCTTATCAGGGACTTGGCCACAACAATGAGAAAATAGAAGACTAATCTCTCCTCTTTTCCTTATTCTTGTCCTCCTCCGGTGTCCAGCTGATGTTCCTGGGGAAGGGAACGCAAAGGTACCCTGGATAACCCCTCACTTACTGTGATGGGGGAAGCCAGGCTGCTGGTGTTGTACTGAGCCGCAAAGGCAATGAAGTTAGTGGCCTTGGCAGAGCCTGTCTGGGCAGTGCGGCCCTCCAGCAGGAAGGAGGAATTTGTGTCCTGGGCCTGGACCAGCAGAAAGTCCCCCAGTCCGTTGAAAGTGTAGGTGACATTATCCAATGTGGTGATGTGGGGATCGCCATATGTCCATGCTGAAAGAAAGGACGTTACACATTAGCATAACTGCCCAGCAGGTTGGGCTTCTGTCTTGGTGGACTCAAGCTCGGGCAAACTCCCCTGGCTTCCACAACCTGACCCAAAGGCCTCTTACGCTTGTAGTCCCTGACCCAGCTCTTGCCCCTATGCCATCGCTATATACAAAGCCTTCTGTTTGCTGTTAGGCTCACACGAGGCTGCCCCCATCATCCCTGTGGTCACAATTCTGCCCTAGGAAGCTGATCTCTTGCTAACCCAGGCTCCCTTCCTGGATGCTCCACCTCCACCATGATGCTCACCGGGCCTCGGGGGTCTGTATGTAGCACAGCTAAGGCGGGGCCGGGCGCGGTGGTACAGGGCACAGAAGGAGGGCTTGTCGTTCCAATGACAGCACCACTTCTGTGCCTCCTGCTCCTGCTCTGTGGAGAAGAAGGGTTTGTCAGAGGGCAGAGCGCCCCAGAGCCAGTAGGCGGGTATGGTAGATCATGGTGGCATCAGTGGCTAGAATACGTCCCTGGAGACAGGCATGGCGCAGGTCACATCCTTCCATGCTCAATGACTTGGCAGTAGTCTGTGACAGAATGTCATTGCATGTCCTCCTTGAAGGCATGTGGGGCTATTACATAACATGGCAAATAGTACAAGCCGTCAGAGGGCCAGGGGAAGAGCGGACATAGACAATGGTATAAAGAGACTAGAGCGGGCCCCAGAGTGGGCAGCAGCAAGCTACCTTGCCCTGTTCATCTCCGTGTGCTCCCGCAGAAAGTCTCTGTGGGGTTATGATTTCAAGTCTCCGTCCTGTTAAGATGTGTTGAGATCTCCATGGAGACACATACCAAACTGCCAAGGACTGTGCATTCTCCAGCCTTCCCGAAACTCTCCCCAGCGGCCGTAGCTGCAGCACACGCCCCCTCGCCCAGAGGAGAAGCTGCACAGTTGCCTGTCACTGCCATACTGCCAACCTGCAATGAGACCAGCAGCCATCCTCAGGCCAAGGAGCTTACGGTAGGTGGTGATGAACAGGGGGAGTTCGTCTGCGGGGTGGGGTGCTCAGGGTGACTGGGAAAGGGCGGAACAGGTGTGAGCAGAGGTGATGGTCAGTGGGGGTTTGTGAAGGGCGGGAGAGGGGTATCACCTGTGTTCATGCGCCAGAATCGCAAGTCCCGTCGTCCCTGCTGCCAGGAGCAAGGGCAGGAAAGCTGGCTCCAGCCCCAGCTCCAGCCCCAGTTCCAGCTGGGCCACCGAGGCTGGCTCTCCAGCCACCACAGACACTTGAGCCGGTAGTTGGGCTTCACCTCCTTGTGTAGCCTGTAGATCTGCAGCCCCCGGATGCCTGGGAGACAAGGAGATCAGTGATTACAGTGGGGCAGGGCCTGCAAGCTCTGCTTCAGCTTCACACAAACTCCTGCTTCATCCTCCAGCCTACGCCTCTCCGGACAGCTCTTCCTAGGAAGGGCCCCGATTCAGATTGGCAACGATTTTTCTCCAAAGCACATTGAACAGAAGCTCCCAAAACACTTCAAGTCTTAGACCTTACGGCAAAAATGTGGGACAAGTGCTGGGCAGGGAGGCGACACTGTGATCCAGTCTGACCTGCCTGCCTTCCCTCCTTCGCTGTTCATTCTCCCTACCTCCTCCCTTCTTCCCTCCCTGCTCTCTGTCTCTCTTTTTCTCTCTGCCGCGCCTTCCAGTTCCTAATCCACCACCTCCTCCTCTAGAGACATGCCGTCCATCCAGTCATGCCGTCAGACCCGCGGTCTTCAGAATGTACCCTTCCTTTCCTTTCGGTGGCCACAGCAACCAGGACAGAGGTCCCTGCCCAGAGGCTCTGGAAGTCACAGAGAAATTGGCACTCTAGTAGGGCCTTGCTCTAACACCGTGAGTCTGTGGAAGCCACTTTTGGGCCCAGATACCATCTTAGGAAGGGGGAAGTCACTAGAAAAATACTCAATGGAGTTGTGAAGTTTAAACCTTGAATTCATTGGAAGTTTCAAACCGCACACTTCTTCAGGGAGAGAAGACTCCAGAGCCCTGCTCCATACATAGTATGATATAGTATATGAGATTTTCAACCCTACATCCACCTGAATTAAGAAACTGAATGTTTTCAGAAGAACAGCATTATTATAATGACCTGTTCATACATGCACCCGCACACACATGTACATACATACACATATGCACACACATGCCTGCATGTGAACACGTACATATATGCATGTGTGTGCACACATGCACACACACACCGTGAGACACTCTAAATCATAAGCAGATGTGTTTGACAAAGAACGCTGATGTCACAGGGAAGCTCTTCCATGGGATGGCACCCACCTGTCATTCGACCTTCGCTCATATTTCTGATTGCCAAACATCTTTGTCCCAGATCAATCAGACCTGAACTCATGCTTCAAGATCTACGTGGTGCCGGGTGGTGGTAGTGCACACACCTTTAATATCCGGACTCGGGAGGCAGAGGCAGGAAGATCTCTGTGAATTTGAGGCCAGCCTGGTCTACAGAGCCAGTTCCAGAACAGACTCCAAAGCAACACAAAAAAACTCTGTCTCGAAAAAAAATCTACATGGCTGACTTCTCCCCAGTGCTAGCATGCCCTCTTTGCTATCACAGTTTGGAAGCTGGCCTCTCTTTCCCTTTGGAGCCTCTATTACACTGAGTCACAAAGAAAGAGCCATGGTTTGCCTCTGGCCGCTAGGGTCTCTCCCACAGTGAATGCTTGTTGAGAGCCAGCGTGGCTGACCTTTCTCACCTTCTCCTTTCATTTTTCTATTAACCCACTGCCTGGCATATAATAGGTGTTCGATAAATGTTGATTAAGTGAATGTCAGCCCTTTGGAACTCTTCCTGGTCGATCTCCTTAAGGGTTTCATTCCAGCTCTGGAATGGGACATTTAGATGCTCATCCTAACTCCCTACTTGCAATACCCTTGTCCTTACTCCAGAACCTGAATGCCCACTGACAGACATCCAGGGCTTGGCTCTCCCAAGGAAGGGGACTTACAGGGGCTGAGGGAGTGAAAAGAAATCGTTGCTTAGAGGATGCCAACTGTGGATGCACTTGTAGGTGGTCAGCCTGTGCAGGACACTCTCTGGGTGGCAGAGAGCGGCGGCGGTCTAGGACTGCCATGGCTATAGAGTAGCGGGCAAGGGAGGACTGGGGCCAGCTCATACAGTTGGGTGGCACTTTTACCTAATTTGGAATTCAGGAATCGATCTGGACGGTACTTCTCCATTGCTGGCCGGAGTATCAGCGGGCTGTTTTCAAAATACCCATCTCCACTGCAGGCAAAGGGAAAGACTCTCAGGCCTCTGTGTCACACTCAGGCTCTTTGCTCTCGACTGAAAACCACCCACACATTTAGTCTGTCAGTCACTCCGGCTAGCCCCCGTCAGCAGCTGGTAGCCCGTGCTCAGTCAGGTGGGCAGCCAGACTGAGTCACAAGCCCCAGCGTTGAAGAGGAAGACAGGATGGGTGGGGGTGGGGAGCCTCTGCTTCACCCCACATCTGATCAGTCACAGTGGGTTTGCTCAGGACACAGCGGGTGTGAAAGCAACAGAGTTGAGGCCATATTTCCCTTTGTTTCCCTTGAAGCTCTCTGAGAGCGTACTGCAAGGGATAGCTGAAGGCCAGTCTCTGAAGCCGGGCGATCACTGCCAGCTTGACTTGGGCACTCACTAGCTTAGTAGTCATGGTTATTTAACATGTCTGACTTTGGGGTTTTCTGTCTGGGTGACAGAGATGTCATTTGCAACCACGTCACAGCTTTGTGAAGCTCCAGTGCTGTGACATTTTCAAAGCCCTCGGATCTGAGTGGAGAGACCATGTTCAAGGTCCCGCCACCCTCACCATGAGTGTGGATCCAGAATGGAAGGAGGCCCGCAGCAGCAGCCATGGAGCCACTGTAGGAGCATGCCCTCAGAAAGTGCTCTGCTATCACACAGGCTGGAGGACAAATTCACGCCTGACGTCTCTGGTGGGGACACTGAAGATGGTGTGAAATTGCCAGCTCCCTGGGTAATGACAAGGTTTCCTCTTTCCGTTGCGCACCAAAAGCCAGTCCAAGCCATGTGCTTGTAGGGCAGCCTGGACACACCCCGGTGGAACAGAAAACCGTCTGTGGCAGTTACTGCAAGCCCACAATGCATGGCCATCACAACTGATTGCCTCACAGGCAGCGGGTTGGGAGCTGTTGCCTCAGAGACTGCGGCTCCTTCCCGTGCAGGAGCCCACACTACAGCCAGCCACGGCCCTTTTCCTCAGTGCCTTCTCCAGCTAAGCTGTAGAGCGCCAGGAATCACTGATTTCAAACTTGCATGTCTGTGTTCAGATGTCCGCTTTGTCACTTTGAAACTCTGACTTGGAGCAAATTACTCCTCTGCTTGTACCTAAGTTTTCTTACCTAGAGGACAATGAACGGTCTTATCTTATAGGATATTGGTCAGCTATCGTGGGTGGCTGTGATCACAAATTAAACAAACAAACAAACAAATAGAGTATGTGATGTAATAGGAATAATGAGCCAGTATTAGCTGAAAAGCCAGCTAAGGTCAGTGGAAACCAGGAAGGTCAAAGGTTGAAAGGCTCCAGTGCACAGGTGTTGGGATGGCAGGATGAATGTGTGTGTGTGTGGGGGGGTGATTTTCACCAAGAAGCTGCATCTTCAAGGATCGGACAGAAGTGTGAGCAGGGAACCCTTATCTCTCACAGTTCAGTGCTGACAGCTAGCCGATCCTGTCCTACCTGGAGAAGCCCATGATGACTCTGTTGCTCAGACCCTGGGTCACATCCCAGCGCATCCCACCACTCTGGTAGAGAAACAGGGCGTAGGAACTGCTTCCATCTGTGGAGAGGATGGCTTGGTAGGTATTGGTCTGGAAGTCGGCGAGAGACAAATAGAGACATCTATGAGAGGTCTGGAGGTTCCTCCCTGGTGCCCCATACCCTGGTGCCCCCAAGCCCTGGCCAGACACAGGCCTGTCACCTGTCCCTGGTGCCCCCACGCCCTGGCCAGACACAGGCCTGTCACCTGTCCCTGGTCCCACTGGGCTGGACTTGCAGGCAAGTTTGCTGTGATCAGAGCATCAGTTATCTTAGGTATAGAAGCACTTAGAGTGGCCAGTTCTCCTTCCTTTGACCTTTTTTCAGGGAGAGGAAATAAAGAGCTCTGGGTTGCAATCCCATTAGAAGGTGGTTTTTAAAGAGAGAGCTACAGGAACTTGAGAGATTGGAGGAGACAGCAGAGCTGACAAAGGCCTCCTTGTCTCTCCCTCGGGGATAAATAAGGACACTGTCCAGATCCTGTGTGTGGTATAGAGGACCTGTCCCAGGTAGTCAGTGAACTGTTTGCTGAGCGCCATGTGCTGATACTTCACTCTAGTAAAGGGAGCTGACTTGTGTAAGTCACATGACCTTGTCAGCCCACAGACATTCCTGCCTGTAAATGCAGTCGAGGTTTCTGCCCGCTGTGAGTACTCATAGACCGTGCTTTCAGAGGGTGGCTATCGCCAGCAGTCTTTCCTCCAGTCAGGGAGGCTCCCTGTGAGCCTACTAGGATGTCTGGCTCCCACCAGGCTCACAGGGAGCTAGCACCCATGGTCCACTCACCCCATAGTTCCACTGGGCAGGATAGGCAGGAACGTTGAACCAAGTGACTTTCAATGTCCACTTGGCTTTGTAGCTCCAATCACTTGTGAACTCACGAATCAAAGTCTCCACCTTCCTGATGAGCTCATTGTTTTCATCGTGAAGTGTGTTGTATTCCTAGAAAAGGAAAGTAGGCACAAGCAAGGAATTCAGAGTCCCATTCAGTTCCCATAAGGCAGTGGTTCTCAACCTGGGAGTCTCAATCCCTTTGGGGTTCGAACGACCCTTTCAAAGTGGTCACATATCAGATATCTGCATTATAATTCATAACATTAGCAAAATTATAATTATGAAGTACCAACAAAAATGGTGTTATGATTGGGGTCACCACAGCATAAAGAATTGTATTAAAGGGCCGGAGAACTAGGAATGTTGAGAACCAGAGCCCTAAGGGGTCCCTGCTTCCTGCTTGGGGATGCTGTTCACTTCAGTGCCCATGGTTGCTTGTATATCTTTTCCACAAGTCTGAATTTTTGCAAGTTTTTTGGACTTTAAGATTGATTTAAATTTCGGCTGCAGGAAATCTGGGGTATGTGAGCTAGAGAGTCCCTACCTTAGAAAGTTAAACCTTCTAGAATTGAACAGATGCATCTCTTAGCTCAAACTGACTTGGATGATATGACCATGTGTGTCAAATTCTATATTCCTGTGTCTAGCTTGTAACTCCTAAAGGATGGGTGTATGCCTTTCCATCTTTGGAACCTAGGTAGTTCCTTGCTGATGGCAGGTACACAAACACAATTGCTATGGCAGCCGATGCTACATGCTTTGACAGACAGGCTGGAATTATTAACTTAATTCAGAAATGGAGAGGGGGGGGTCTGTTTGGCTCAGACACATGGTTGGAGTAGGGTGTTCCAGGGTCTGTTTAGCATTCTTTCTTGGCTTCCTCTCTACCTGTATTTAAGCTTCAGTGGCTTCCCACACAAGCCTAGGCTGTGATGCAATGCCCTTCCAGTGCCCTTAATCTCTCCAGGCAGGATGCTGGAACTCCCGACTGTCAAGGCTTTGAATGACCTACCTGGTAGAATATGGTTCCCCTGGAGCTAGAGAAGTCAGCATCATCCCAGAATGGGGCCACCAAGGCCACCTTTTCCATTCCTGTGAAGCCTCCTTGAGGTGGGTTGGGGTAGGAGAAGATGCTGTAGTCTGACTCTGGAAAAATGATCTGGCCGTTATCTGTGAACTGAACACAAGGGTTCTCGCTTAGGGAGGGTTGAAGGAAGAGTTATCCCCATCTAGGCCAGCTCCTCAGAGGCGTGCTCCCCGAACGTCCACCTGTGCAGAGGATGAGAGGTGTCAACCTTGATGGTCCCCTCGTCCACTTCTCGCCTTCTAGGAGAACTCATTACCCTAGAGTATTTTTAGAGCATCTTACAAATACTCTTCCCTTCCAGGACAGTCTCATATCGCCCAAAGTAGTGGACGGTGCCCTGCTTCAGCATAATAGCCCAGAGGTAAGTGCCTCACCCTTAAAGCTTGGGAAGAGGCTGAAGAGGACAAAGGAGTCAATGGCCTCCTCCCAGTACTGTGTTGACCTCTCAGTTGGGGGTTACTACTCCTCTCCCTGAGGGCAAGTGGAGCCCATCACCGTTCCCAGGGAATCAGGAAGTAATCACAAGAAATGAAAATGAGATAAACCAATCAAGTTCCCAAGCATAGCTTATTCCTCATGAAAAACACAAAACCAAAACGAAACAAAAAACTCTTTAAATAACCGTGATCTCTTCTTACTAGGGAGAGGACGGTTTTGCCCACATGGGCTGGGAGGCATGACTTCATTCAGCTTTCCCCAACTAGAAATTGATATAAAAGAAGCTACGGAGGTGTTGTGCAGCAAAGGTGACTCCCATTCTCCCTTCTGCTCAGTCACGGGCCGTCTCCATGCCTTGAGGAGATACAGGGCCCGGAGAACACAGGCCACAGACTTAAAACAAGGGCTTCAGCCGGAGACTCACATAGAAGGAATCCCGAAGAGAGGAGCCGAGAGGGAAGCCAATCTGGATCTTGAAGAGGGGCGAGGTAAAATCCACAGTCCTGGCAAACAACCGGTGGTCTCCAACTTCAGGGCTTGTCCCGTAGGGGAAGAGGGGAATGCCTAGGCCAGGACAAAGGAGAGAACAGCACCCTTGCAGGCCTTTGCTTCTTCAGGTTCAGAAAGATCCCGAGGGAGCTTTCCCTCATCTGTTGCTTACCCTGGCCCTCTTTCTGAAAGCGCCCCTAGGCCCTGACTCTTTGCTGCTCCATGCATAGCTAGCACATCCTCCTTGTATATTCTCAGCTGGTACCCTTCTCATTCCTCAGCTGAGAACATCCTGACTTAATGGCCCTGCTGTGAGGGTGTCAATTGTATGCTCTGGTGGAGAAGTCAGAACTGCCCGAGGGTGAAAAGATGAAACTTTGAGACCACAAAGACCAGTCACTTAAAGGCCTTTTCATAAAATGGCCCTTGTTTCCAGAAATGGTGTTTCTCCAGATAAATCCGAAGAACCCCCTGGCCCCAAAATTACCATAGGCCACCCTTACGTCCTTGGATTCCAGCTTGGGGCCTTGTCCTAGGTGTTTTCCAAGTGGACCTCACTCTATCCCGTAGCATTCACTCATTAGGACCCTGGCATGGCCTTTATTGGCTTAGCTCAGTCTTTACATAGCTCTTGGATTCCTCACTGACACTTGCTTGACCCTCCCAAATTTATCCATACCAGCCACCACTATGCAAATCTAGATCCTTCCTGGTTGCCTCACCCACAAGGTTTTTGCACACACCAGACTCCTTAGAGTCCTCAGACCCCCCCCCCACTCTTCACCCTTACTCCCAGCAATCCCAAATGCTTGGAGCTCCTACCCCCATTCAACACGAGGACTATCTTTTCACTCCCGGGGCTGTATTCTAGCTGCTCAGACCATCCAGCCTATCTGAGGTGCTCCCCCTCCCCCAGCTCCCATCCGGAAGTCTCCTGTCCACCTTGATCCTATTCCCACATCGCTTACAGGCTTGTACCTGCTATCCTGGCCTTTCATCTACAGAACAGTTGATCGGTTCCCTGCTCACTCTCCTATCTCCATCTCCCAGCCCAATACAATACACAAAATCGCCCTCAGCACCCAGCTTTGGTGTTATTCCCCGTAATCTCTGATCCCAGAGAGCAGAGACTGTAACCAAGTAGTCCTAAACACTCAGTCATCATCCCTCTAGAGGAAATACAAGTGGGGGAAGGTGGTTTATTCGTGGCCTGGATGGGACAGAGTAGAAACCCAAAGGACTGGATCCCTCAACAACACAGAAGGACCTAAACTGGCAAATCCAGTCTCGCAATCACAGCGAGAAAGTCTGTGAAGTCTTGAAGTCTGGCTCGGGTAGAAGGCAGAGATGGAATGTCTTATGGGCATCACTCACCCTGCTCTGGTAAAATGGGGATTGGGGACACTGTTGACCTGGAGGTTGTGGTTGTGCTGGGCATGGTAAGGGTCAAGGAGGTAGCAGAGAGCGATGTGCCTCTGCCATTGTCTGTCTTCGGGGAGCTTGTGGTCATTCCTGGAAATAGAGGAAAAGAAGACAAGAGTGGTTTTTACGTCACAGAAAATGAGGAGCTGGGAGAGACAGCTGAAATGTTTGTTTATATACTGGTCAACAGTCACTGCCTCCATGTATACGCAAACAGGACAGACGGAGTGGAGGGGCTACTCATCATTCACTGTGGGGAGCCTCACCTCAGCTGACTCACCTGAGGAAGATGTCCCATGGAAACGGGTGTCTGTCACAGTGGGTCCAGGTGAAGAGGATGAGTGGTTTTCTTTGGTCGGCTTTGTGAGGATGCTCTTTTGAGATGTGCTGGAGGACGCCATGCTGGTTGTCCGGTAACTCTGAGAGTATGTAGGTGACAGCCGCGTAGAGGTGCTGTGAGTTAGGATTGTTGATTGTCCAGCTAGAGTAGTGTTTGGAACTCTTGATGTGGCAATACCGTGGCTTCCAGTGACGTGTGCAGATGTAGGCCCTGAGGTGAAGTCTGGAGAGGTTGATATGTCTGGTGTAGCTCGAGGTGGGTTACTCCTGCTGGAAGCAGATGGAGTAGTTATTTTGCTGGAGGAGGATGTTCCCCGAGAAACTGTCTGTGTCAGAGTGGGCACACTCGGGGAGAAGGAATGAGATGATGGCATGACCTCTGTGAGGGTGGTGTGAGGTGTGCTGCTGGTCTCCATGCTTCCAGTGTGGACGCTCTGAGAAGATGGCGAATATTCCTGAGTATAGGTGATGGGGGTGGTCACTGTTGACAGGACATTTGCTGAGCTTGTCACTGAGATGTTGGTCATGATAGATGTGGAACTGTGAGAAACTGTTGGAGATTTGGTTCCAGTATTTCCTGAGCTAGAGACTGTAGAGACTGATGCCTTTGGCATCTCTGACGTGGTTGGATTTGTATGGATAATGCTGGAAGTGGATAGGTTGTTTGTGTCATTTGGAGATGATGGCCCGTGAGACACTGTCTGTTCAGAAGTTGAGCCACTTGAGGTGGTTAAAAAAGTTGATATGGTCACCTTTGTGAGTGTAGTCTGAGGTGTGCTGCTGGTCCCCATGCTTTCAGTGTGCAGAGTCTGAGAAGATGTTGTCAGTTCCTGAGTCATGGTGATGGGTGTTGTGATTGTAGACAGGACTTTTGGTGAATTTGTCATTGAGACATCAGTATTGACAAGTGTGGAACTTTGAGAAACTGTTGAAGATGTTGTTTCTGTATTTCCTGAGTTGGAGTCTGTAGAGAGTGCTGCTGTCGGCACCTCTGATGAGGCTGGGCTTGTGTGGATCACAGTAGAAGACAGGCTGGCTGTTTCCCCTGGAGATGATGTCCCTTGGGACGCTGTCTGGGCAGGAGTTGAGCCACTTGGGGAAGTTGAAAATGTCGATGTGGTCACTGTTGTGTGTGTGGTTTGAGGTGTGCTGCTGGTGTCCAGGTTTCCAGTGTGCAGAGTCTGAAAAGATGTTGTCAGTTCTTGAGGGGAAGTGATGGGTGTTGACACAGTGGACGGTTCCTGTGGTGAAGATGTCATTGAGAACTGTGTGGCATCAGATGGAGAACTTGGAGTAACTACAACACTTGTGTGCCGTGACTCTACTGAGGGTGTTTCAGTGGAGGGCAAACTGTTCATTGTATGATCAGATAGGGAGGTTGTTTCTCCATGAGTGGGCATTCTCTGGGACTCTGCTTGTGTCACAGTGGGTTCCTTTGGGGACGATGAATGAGTTGGTGTGGACACCTCTGAGAGTGGGTTCTGAGATGGTCTGCTGGTCACAATTTTCTCAGTGTGGTCTTTGTGAGATGTTGACAATTGCTGATTAGAGGTGATGTGAATTGACATTGTTGAAAGTTCCCGTGGTGAAGATGTAACTGAGGCTTCTGTAGCAGTAACAGAAGAGGTTTGGATAATGTCTGAAGCTGTGCTTCCAGGAGCAGATTCTGTAGAGAGTGCTGTGTTGGGCACCTCTGATGTGATGGGTATTGTGTTGGTGACAGTAGAACTGGAGGGGACAGTTGTTTCATCTGGAGAGGAAATCCCATGGGACACCGTCTCTGCTGCAGTTGAGCCACTGGGGGAAGGTGAGAGAGATGATGTGGTCACCTCGGTGACTGTGGTTTGAGCTGTGCTGCTGGTCTCTGTGCTCCCAGGGTGGTCATTCTGAGATGTTGACAATTCTCCAGTAGCGGTGAGAGGTGATGTCACTGTTGAAAGGACATTTGGTAAATTCGTCAGTAAGCCATCAGTACTGACAGGTACGGAACTTTGAGAAAAAGACGATGGTGTGGTCTCAGTATTTCCTGACATGAAATCTGTAGAGAATACCCATGTTGACACCTCTGATATGGTTGGTTTGGTGGTGGAGGCACTGGGGGTGGAGAGGTTCATAGTTTCTTCAGGAGATGATGTCCCTTGGGACACTGTCTGTGCAGGAGTTGAGCCACTTGTGAAAGGTGAAAAAGTTGATGTGGTCACCTCTGTGAGTGTGGTTTGAGGTGTGCTGCTGGAATCCATGGTTTCAGTGTGAAGGTTCTGAGAAGATGTTGACAATTCCTGAGTCGCAGTGATGGGTGTTGTGACTGTTGACAGGACATTTGGTGAATTCGTGATTGACACATCAGTATTAACAGGTATAGAACTTGGAGAAGCTCTTGGGGGTGTGATTCCTGTATTTCCTGGGGTGGAATCTGTAGATAATGGTGCTGTTGGAGCCTCTGATATGGTTGTTTCGGTATTGATTATGGTGGAGCTGAATAAGTTTGTTGTTTCTTCTGGAGTTGATGTCCCTTGGGATGCTGTCTGTGCAGGAGTTGAGCCACTTGTGAAAGGTGAAAAAGTTGATGTGGTCACCTCTGTGAGTGTGGTTTGAGGTGTGCTGCTGGTCCCCATGCTTTCAGTGTGCAGAGTCTGAGATGTTGTCAGATCCTGAGTGGAAGTGATGGGTGTTGACACAGTGGACGGTTCCTGTGGTGAAGATGTCATTGAGAACTGTGTGGCAGCAGATGGAGAACTTGGAGTAACCACAGCAGTTGTGTGAACTGCGTCTACTGAGCGTGTTTCAGTGGAGGGCAGACTTGGAGGTGAACTGCTCCTGGTGTCAGCATACACAGAGGTTGTGTCTCCAGGAGTGGGAGTTCTCTGGGACTCTGCTTGTGTCACAGTGGGTCCCTTTGGGGAAGATGAATGAGTTGATGTGGACACCTCTGTTATGGAATTTTGAGGTGGGCCTCTGGTCACAATGCTCTCATTGTGGTCATTGTGAGAAGATGTTGACAATTGCTGACTAGAGGTGATGGGAACTGACACTGTTGAAAGTTCCCGTGGTGAAGATGTAACTGAGGCTTCTGTGGCAGTCCCTGAAGAGCTTTGGATAATGTCTGAAGCTGTGCTTCCAGGAGCAGATTCTGTAGAGGGTGCCACGGAGGGCACCTCTGATGTGGTTGGGATTGTGTTGGTGACAGTAGAACTGGAGGGGACAGTTGTTTCATCTGGAGAGGAAATCCCATGGGACACTGTCTCTGCTGCAGTTGAACCACTTGGGGAAGGTGAGAGAGATGATGTGGTCACCCCGGAGACTGTGGTTTGAGCTGTACTGCTGGTCTCTGTGCTCCCAGGGAAGTCATTCTGAGATGCTGACAATTCCCAAGTAGCAGTGATAGGTGATGTCACTGTTGACAGGACATTTGGTGAATTCGTCGGTAAGCCATCAGTACTGACAGGTACGGAACTTTGACTAAAAGGTGTTGATGTGGTCTCAGTATTTACTGAGGTTGAATCTGTAGATAATGGTGCTGTTGGAACCTCTGATATGGTTGGTTTGATGTTGGTGACACTGGAGGTAAATAAATTGGTTGTTTCTTCTCGAGATGATGTACCTTGCGACACTGTCTGTTCAGGAGGTGGGAAACTTGGGGAAAGAGAAAACCATGATGTGGTCACCTCTGTGAGTGTGGATTGAGCTGTTTTGCTGGTCTCCAAAGTTTGGGTGTAGAGGTTCTGAGAAGATGTTAACAATTTCTGAGTAACAGTGATAGGTGTTGTCACCGTTGACAGGATATTTGTGGAATTTGTTATTGACCCATCAGTACTGACAGTTGTGGAACTTGGAGAAACTGTTAGAGATGTGGTCTCTGTGTTTCCTGAGGAGGACTCTGTAGAGAATGCTGCTGTTGACTCCTCTGATGTGGTTGAGTTTGTATTGATGATGGTGTAAGTGGAAAGATTGGTTGTTTGAGCTGGAGATGATGTCCCTGGGGACACTGTTGGGGCAGGAGTTGAATCACTTGGGGAAGGAGAAAAACTAGATGTGGTCATGTCTTTGAGGGTGATTTGAGGTGTGCTGCTGGTCTCCTTGCTTCCCGTATGGAGGTTCAGAGAAGATGTAGTCAGTTCCTGAGTGGAAGTGATGGGTGTTGGCACAGTGGACGGTTCCTGTGGTGAAGATGTCATTGAGAACTGTGAGGCAGCAAATGGAGAACTTGGAGTAACTACAGCAGTTGTGTGTCCTGTGTCTACTGAGGGGGTTTCAGAGGAGGGCATACTTGGAGGTGAACTGCTCACGGTGTGACCAAACACAGAGGTTGTTTGATCAGAAGTGGGAGTTTTCAGGGACCCTGCCTGTGCCACAGTGGGTCCCCTAGGGGAAGGTGAATGAGTTGGTGTGGACATCTCTGTGAGGGGGGTTTGAGATGAGCTGCTGGTCTCCAGGCTCTCAGTGTGGTCATTGTGAGAAGAGGTTGACAATTCCTGACTAGAGGTGATGGGAACTGACACTGTTGAAAGTTCCCGTGGTGAAGATGTAACTGAGGCTTCTGTGGCAGTAACAGAAGAGCTTTGGATAATGTCTGAAGCTGTGCTTCCAGGAGCAGATTCTGTAGAGAGTGCCACGGAGGGCACCTCTGATGTGCTTGGGATTGTGTTGGTGACTGCAGAAATGGAGGGGACAGTTGTTTCATCTGGAGAGGAAATCCCATGGGACACCGTTTCTGCTGCAGTTGAGCCAATGGTGGAAAGTGAAAGAGATGATGTGGTCACCTCGGTGACTGTGCTTTGACCTGTGCTGCTGGTCTCTGTGTTCCTAGGGAGGTCTTTCTGAGATGTTGACAATTCTCTAGTAGCGGTGATAGGTGATGTCACTGTTGACAGGACATTTGGTGAATTCGTCATGAAGACATCAGTATTGACAGGTACGGAACTTTGAGAATAAGTTGATGATGTGGTCTCAGTATTCCCTGAGGTGTAATCTGTAGAGAATGCTGCCATTGACACCTCTGATATGGTTGGTTTGGTGCTGGTGACACTGGAGGTAGAGTGGTTGGTTGTTTCTTTTGGAGTTGATGTCTTCTGGGACGTTGTCTGTGCAAGAGGTGAGCCACTTGGGGAAGTTGATAATGTTGAATTCGTCATTGACACTTCAGTATTGACAGGTATAGTACTTTGAGAAACCATTGGCAATGTGATTCCTGTATTTTCAGGGGTGGAATCTGTAGATAATGGTGTTGTTTGAACGTCTGATATGGTTGGTTTGGTGCTGGTGACACTGGAAGTGGAGTGGTTGGTTGTTTCTTCTGGAGATGATGTCCCTTGGGATGCTGTCTGTGCAGGAAGTGAGGCACTTGTCAAAGGTGGAAAAGTTGATATGGTCATATCTGTGAGTGTGGTTTGAGGTATGCTACTGGTCCCCATGCTTTCAGTGTGCAGAGTTTGATTAGATGTTGTCAGTTCCTGAGTCATGGTGATGGGTGTTGTGATTGTAGATAAGACTTTTGGTGAATTTCCCATTGAGACATCAGTATTGACAAGTGTGGAACTTTGAGAAACTGTTGGAGATGTGGTTTCTGTATTTCCTGAGTTGGAGTCTGTAGAGAGTGCTGCTGTCGGCACCTCTGATGAGGCTGGGCTTGTGTGGATCACAGTAGAAGACAGGCTGGCTGTTTCCCCTGGAGATGATGTCCCTTGGGACGCTGTCTGTGCAGGAGGTGAGCCACTTGAGGAAGCTGATAATGTTGAATTGGTCACCTCTGCGTGTGTAATTTGAGGTGTGCTGCTGGTGTCCAGGTTTCCAGTGTGCAGAGTCTGAGAAGATGTTGTCAGTTCCTGAGTAGTAGTGATGGGTGTTGGCACAGTGGACGGTTCCTGTGCTGAAGATGTCATTGAGAACTGTGTGGCAGCAGATGGAGAACTTGGAGTAACTACAACACTTGTGTGCCGTGAGTCTTCTGAAGGGGTTTTAGTGAAGGGTGTACTTGGAGGTGAACTGCTCATGGTGTGAGCATACACGAAAGTTGTTTGATAAGGAGTTGGAGTATTCACGGAACCTGCCTGTGTCACAGTGGGTCCCCTAGGGGAAGGTGAATGAGTTGGTGTGGACACCTCTGTGAGGGGGTTTTGAGATGGTCTGCTGGTCACAATTTTCTCAGTGTGGTCATTGTGAGAAGATGTTGACAATTGCTGATTAGAGGTGATGGGAATTGGCACTGTTGAAAGTTCCTGTGGAGAAGATGTAACTGAGGCTTCTGTGGCAGTAACAGAAGAGGTTTGGATCATAACTGGAGCTGTGCTTCCAGGAGCAGATTCTGTAGAGAGTGCTGTGGTGGGCACCTCTGATGTGATGGGTATTGTGTTGGTGACAGTTGAACTGGAGGGGACAGTTGTTTCATCTGGAGAGGAAATCCCATGGGACACTGTCTCTGCTGCAGTTGAGCCACTGGGGGAAGGTGAGAGAGATGATGTGGTCACCTCAGTGACTGTGGTTTGAGCTGTGCTGCTGGTCTCTGTGCTCCCAGGGTGGTCATTCTGAGATGTTGACAGTTCCACAGTAGCAGTGATAGGTGATGTCACTGTTGACAGGACATTTGGTGAATTCGTCGGTAAGCCATCAGTACTGACAGGTACGGAACTTTGAAAAAATGTTGATGATGTGGTCTCAGTATTTCCTGACTTGTAATCTGTAGAGAATGCTGCCGTTGACACCTCTGATATGGTTGGTTTGGTGGTGGAGGCACTGGAGGTGGAGAGGTTCGTAGTTTCTTCTGGAGATGACAGCGCTTGGGATACTGTCTGTGCAGGAGTTGAGCCACTAGGGGAAGTTGAAAAATGTGATGTGGTCACCTCTGTGAGTGTGGTTTGAGGTGTGCTGCTCGTCTCCATGGTTTCAGTGTGGAGGCTCTGAGAAGATGTTGAAAATTCCTGAGTAGTAATGGTGGGTGTTGTGACTGTTGACAGGACATTTGGTGAATTCGTGATTGACACATCAGTATTAACAGGTATAGAACTTTGAGAAGCTCTTGGGGATGTGATTCCTGTATTTCCTGGGGTGGAATCTGTAGATAATGGTGTTGTTGGAGCCTCTGATATGGTAGTTTCGGTATTGGTAATGGTGGAGCTGAATAAGTTAGTTGTTTCTTCTGGAGTTGATGTCCCTTGGGATGCTGTCTGTGCAGGAGGTGAGCCACTTGTGAAAGGTGGAAAAGTTGATGTGGTCACCTCTGTAAGTGTGGTTTGAGGTATGCTGCTGGTCCCCATGCTTCCAGTGTATAGAGTCTGAGAAGATGTTGTCAGTTCCTGAGTCATGCTGATGGGTGTTGTGATTGTAGACAAGAATTNTGTCCAGGAGTTGAATCACTTGGGGAAGGAAAAAAACTTGATGTGGCCACCGCTGTGAGTGTGGTTAGAGGTGTGCTGCTGGTCTCCATAGTTTCAGTGTGGAGGTTCTGAGAAGATGTTGGCAATTCCTGAGTTGAAGTGATGGGTGTTGTGACTGTCGACAGGACATTTGGTGAACTGGTCATTGACACTTTAGTACTGACAGGTATAGTACTTTGAGAAACTGTTGGAGATGTGGTTTCTGTATTTCCTGAGTTGGAGTCTGTAGAGAGTGCTGCTGTGGGCACCTCTGATGAGGCTGGGCTTGTGTGGATCACAGTAGAAGACAGGTTCGCTGTTTCCCCTGGAGATGATGTCCCTTGGGACGCTGTCTGTGCAGGAGGTGAGCCACTTGAGGAAGTTGATAATGTTGAATTGGTCACCTCTGTGTGTGTAATTTGAGGTGTGCTGCTGGTGTCCAGGTTTCCAGTGTGCAGAGTCTGAGATGTTGTCAGTTCCTGAGTGGAAGTGATGGGCGTTGGCACAGTGGACTGTTCCTGTGGTGAAGATGTCATTGAGAACTGTGTGGCAGCAGATGGAGAACTTGGAGTAACTACAGCAGTTGTGTGCCGTGAGTCTACTGAAGGTGTTTCCGTGGAGGGCAAACTGTTCATTGTATGATCAGATAGGGAGGTTGTTTCTCCATGAGTGGGCATCCTCTGGGACTCTGCTTGTGTCACAGTGGGTTCCTTTGGGGACGATGAATGAGTTGGTGTGGACACCTCTGAGAGTGGGTTCTGAGATGGTCTGCTGGTCACAATTTTCTCAGTGTGGTCTTTGTGAGATGTTGACAATTGCTGATTAGAGGTGATGTGAATTGACATTGTTGAAAGTTCCCGTGGTGAAGATGTAACTGAGGCTTCTGTAGCAGTAACAGAAGAGGTTTGGATAATGTCTGAAGCTGTGCTTCCAGGAGCAGATTCTGTAGAGAGTGCCACGGAGGGCACCTCTGATGTGGTTGGGATTGTGTTGGTGACAGCAGAAATGGAGGGGACAGTTGTTTCATCTGGAGAGGAAATCCCATGGGACACCGTCTCTGCTGCAGTTGAGCCACTGGGGGAAGGTGAGAGAGATGATGTGGTCACCTCGGTGACTGTGGTTTGAGCTGTGCTGCTGGTCTCTGTGCTCCCAGGGTGGTCATTCTGAGATGTTGACAATTCTCCAGTAGCGGTGAGAGGTGATGTCACTGTTGAAAGGACATTTGGTAAATTCGTCAGTAAGCCATCAGTACTGACAGGTACGGAACTTTGAGAAAAAGACGATGGTGTGGTCTCAGTATTTCCTGACATGAAATCTGTAGAGAATACCCATGTTGACACCTCTGATATGGTTGGTTTGGTGGTGGAGGCACTGGGGGTGGAGAGGTTCATAGTTTCTTCAGGAGATGATGTCCCTTGGGACACTGTCTGTGCAGGAGTTGAGCCACTTGTGAAAGGTGAAAAAGTTGATGTGGTCACCTCTGTGAGTGTGGTTTGAGGTGTGCTGCTGGAATCCATGGTTTCAGTGTGAAGGTTCTGAGAAGATGTTGACAATTCCTGAGTCGCAGTGATGGGTGTTGTGACTGTTGACAGGACATTTGGTGAATTCGTGATTGACACATCAGTATTAACAGGTATAGAACTTGGAGAAGCTCTTGGGGGTGTGATTCCTGTATTTCCTGGGGTGGAATCTGTAGATAATGGTGCTGTTGGAGCCTCTGATATGGTTGTTTCGGTATTGATTATGGTGGAGCTGAATAAGTTTGTTGTTTCTTCTGGAGTTGATGTCCCTTGGGATGCTGTCTGTGCAGGAGTTGAGCCACTTGTGAAAGGTGAAAAAGTTGATGTGGTCACCTCTGTGAGTGTGGTTTGAGGTGTGCTGCTGGTCCCCATGCTTTCAGTGTGCAGAGTCTGAGATGTTGTCAGATCCTGAGTGGAAGTGATGGGTGTTGACACAGTGGACGGTTCCTGTGGTGAAGATGTCATTGAGAACTGTGTGGCAGCAGATGGAGAACTTGGAGTAACCACAGCAGTTGTGTGAACTGCGTCTACTGAGCGTGTTTCAGTGGAGGGCAGACTTGGAGGTGAACTGCTCCTGGTGTCAGCATACACAGAGGTTGTGTCTCCAGGAGTGGGAGTTCTCTGGGACTCTGCTTGTGTCACAGTGGGTCCCTTTGGGGAAGATGAATGAGTTGATGTGGACACCTCTGTTATGGAATTTTGAGGTGGGCCTCTGGTCACAATGCTCTCATTGTGGTCATTGTGAGAAGATGTTGACAATTGCTGACTAGAGGTGATGGGAACTGACACTGTTGAAAGTTCCCGTGGTGAAGATGTAACTGAGGCTTCTGTGGCAGTCCCTGAAGAGCTTTGGATAATGTCTGAAGCTGTGCTTCCAGGAGCAGATTCTGTAGAGGGTGCCACGGAGGGCACCTCTGATGTGGTTGGGATTGTGTTGGTGACAGTAGAACTGGAGGGGACAGTTGTTTCATCTGGAGAGGAAATCCCATGGGACACTGTCTCTGCTGCAGTTGAACCACTTGGGGAAGGTGAGAGAGATGATGTGGTCACCCCGGAGACTGTGGTTTGAGCTGTACTGCTGGTCTCTGTGCTCCCAGGGAAGTCATTCTGAGATGCTGACAATTCCCAAGTAGCAGTGATAGGTGATGTCACTGTTGACAGGACATTTGGTGAATTCGTCGGTAAGCCATCAGTACTGACAGGTACGGAACTTTGACTAAAAGGTGTTGATGTGGTCTCAGTATTTACTGAGGTTGAATCTGTAGATAATGGTGCTGTTGGAACCTCTGATATGGTTGGTTTGATGTTGGTGACACTGGAGGTAAATAAATTGGTTGTTTCTTCTCGAGATGATGTACCTTGCGACACTGTCTGTTCAGGAGGTGGGAAACTTGGGGAAAGAGAAAACCATGATGTGGTCACCTCTGTGAGTGTGGATTGAGCTGTTTTGCTGGTCTCCAAAGTTTGGGTGTAGAGGTTCTGAGAAGATGTTAACAATTTCTGAGTAACAGTGATAGGTGTTGTCACCGTTGACAGGATATTTGTGGAATTTGTTATTGACCCATCAGTACTGACAGTTGTGGAACTTGGAGAAACTGTTAGAGATGTGGTCTCTGTGTTTCCTGAGGAGGACTCTGTAGAGAATGCTGCTGTTGACTCCTCTGATGTGGTTGAGTTTGTATTGATGATGGTGTAAGTGGAAAGATTGGTTGTTTGAGCTGGAGATGATGTCCCTGGGGACACTGTTGGGGCAGGAGTTGAATCACTTGGGGAAGGAGAAAAACTAGATGTGGTCATGTCTTTGAGGGTGATTTGAGGTGTGCTGCTGGTCTCCTTGCTTCCCGTATGGAGGTTCAGAGAAGATGTAGTCAGTTCCTGAGTGGAAGTGATGGGTGTTGGCACAGTGGACGGTTCCTGTGGTGAAGATGTCATTGAGAACTGTGAGGCAGCAAATGGAGAACTTGGAGTAACTACAGCAGTTGTGTGTCCTGTGTCTACTGAGGGGGTTTCAGAGGAGGGCATACTTGGAGGTGAACTGCTCACGGTGTGACCAAACACAGAGGTTGTTTGATCAGAAGTGGGAGTTTTCAGGGACCCTGCCTGTGCCACAGTGGGTCCCCTAGGGGAAGGTGAATGAGTTGGTGTGGACATCTCTGTGAGGGGGGTTTGAGATGAGCTGCTGGTCTCCAGGCTCTCAGTGTGGTCATTGTGAGAAGAGGTTGACAATTCCTGACTAGAGGTGATGGGAACTGACACTGTTGAAAGTTCCCGTGGTGAAGATGTAACTGAGGCTTCTGTGGCAGTAACAGAAGAGCTTTGGATAATGTCTGAAGCTGTGCTTCCAGGAGCAGATTCTGTAGAGAGTGCCACGGAGGGCACCTCTGATGTGCTTGGGATTGTGTTGGTGACTGCAGAAATGGAGGGGACAGTTGTTTCATCTGGAGAGGAAATCCCATGGGACACCGTTTCTGCTGCAGTTGAGCCAATGGTGGAAAGTGAAAGAGATGATGTGGTCACCTCGGTGACTGTGCTTTGACCTGTGCTGCTGGTCTCTGTGTTCCTAGGGAGGTCTTTCTGAGATGTTGACAATTCTCTAGTAGCGGTGATAGGTGATGTCACTGTTGACAGGACATTTGGTGAATTAGTCATGAAGACATCAGTATTGACAGGTACGGAACTTTGAGAATAAGATGGTGATGTGGTCTCAGTATTCCTTGAGGTGGAATCTGTAGAGAATGCTGCCGTTGACACCTCTGATATGGTTGGTTTGGTGCTGGTGACACTGGAGGTAGAGTGGTTGGGTGTTTCTTTTGGAGTTGATGTCCCCTGGGACGTTGTCTGTGCAGGAGGTGAGCCACTTGGGGAAGGAGAAAAACGTGATGTGGTCACCATTGTAAGTGTAATCTGAGGTGTGCTGCTGGTCTCCATGCTTCCAGTGTGGAGGTTCTGAGAAGCCTCAGTAGCAGTGATGGGTGTTGTCCCCACTGACAGGACATTTGTGGAACTTGTTATTGACACATCAGTATTGACAGGTGTGGAACTTGGAGAAACTGTTGAAGATGTGATTCCTGTATTTCCTGAGGAGGACTCTATAGACAATGTTGTTGGCTTTTCTGACATGGTTGAGTTTGTGTTGAGGATGGTGGTAGTGAAAAGATTGGTTGTTTCAGCTGGAGATGATGTCCCATGGGACAGTGTATGTCCAGGAGTTGAATCACTTGGGGAAGGAAAAAAACTTGATGTGGCCACCGCTGTGAGTGTGGTTAGAGGTGTGCTGCTGGTCTCCATAGTTTCAGTGTGGAGGTTCTGAGAAGATGTTGGCAATTCCTGAGTTGAAGTGATGGGTGTTGTGACTGTCGACAGGACATTTGGTGAACTGGTCATTGACACATTAGTATCAACAGGTATAGAACTTTGAGAAGCTCTTGGGGGTGTGATTCCTGTATTTCCTGGGGTGGAATCTGTAGATGATGGTGCTGTTGGAGCTTCTGATATGGTTGTTTCGGTATTGGTGATGGTGGAGCTGAATAAGTTAGTTGTTTCTTCTGGAGTTGATGTCCCTTGGGATGCTGTCTGTGCAGGAGGTGAGCCACTTGTGAAAGGTGGAAAAGTTGATGTGGTCACCTCTGTAAGTGTGGTTTGAGGTATGCTGCTGGTCCCCATGCTTCCAGTGTATAGAGTCTGAGAAGATGTTGTCAGTTCCTGAGTCATGCTGATGGGTGTTGTGATTGTAGACAAGAATTTTGGTGAATTTGCCATCGAGACATCAGTATTGACAGGTGTGGAACTTTGAGAAACTGTTGGAGATGTGGTTTCTGTATTTCCCGAGTTGGAGTCTGTAGAGAGTGCTGCTGTCGGCACCTCTGATGAGGCTGGGCTTGTGTGGATCATAGAAGAAGACAGGCTTGCTGTTTCCCCTGGAGATGATGTCCCTTGGGATGCTGTCTGAGCAGGAGTTGAGCCACTTGGGGAAGTTGAAAACGTCAATGTGGTCTCTGCTGTGTGTGTGGTTTGAGGTGTGCTGCTGGTGTCCAGGTTTCCAGTGTGCAGAGTCTGAGATGTTGTCAGTTCCTGAGTGGAAGTGATGGGTGTTGACACAGTGGACGGTTCCTGAGGTGAAGATGTCATTGAGAACTGTGTGGCAGCAGATGGAGAACTTGGAGTAACTACAACACTTGTGTGAACTGCGTCTACTGAGGGTGTTTCAGTGGAGAGCAGACTTGGAGATGAACTGTTCCTGGTGTCAGCATACACAGAGGTTGTGTCTCCAGGAGTGGGAGTTCTCTGGGACTCTGCTTGTGTCACAGTGGGTCTCCTTGGGGAAGATGGATGAGCTGATGTGGACGCCTCTATAGAGGGTTTTTGAGATGGTCTGCTGGGCACAATGCTCTCAGTGTGGTCATTGTGAGAAGATGTTGACAATTCCTGACTAGAGGTGATGGGAACTGACACTGTTGAAAGTTCCCGTGGTGAAGATGTAACTGAGGCTTCTGTGGCAGTAACAGAAGAGGTTTGGATCATAACTGGAGCTGTGCTCCCAGGAGCAGATTCTGTAGAGAGTGCTGTGGTGGGCACCTCTGATGTGGTTGGGATTGTGTTGGTGACAGTGGAACTGGAGGGGACAGTTGTTTCATCTGGAGAGGAAATTCCATGGGACACCGTCTCTGCTGCAGTTGAGCCACTGGTGGAAGGTGAGAGAGATGATGTGGTCACCTCTGTGACTGTGGTTTGACCTGTGCTGCTGGTCTCTGTTCTCCTAGGGAGGCCCTTCTGTGATGTTGACAATTCCACAGTAGCGGTGATAGGTGATGTCACTGTTGGAAGGACATTTGGTGAATTTGTCGTTAAGCCATCAGTATTGACAGGTATGGAACTTTGAGAATTAGTTGGCCATATAGTCTCATTATTTTGTACGGTGGATTGTGTAGAGAATGCTGTCATTGACACCTCTGATATGGTTGGTTTGGTGCTGGTGACACTGGAGGTAGAGTGGTTGGGTGTTTCTTTTGGAGTTGATGTCCCCTGGGACGTTGTCTGTGCAGGAGGTGAGCCACTTGGGGAAGGAGAAAAACTTGATGTGGTCACCATTGTAAGTGTAATTTGAGGTGTGCTGCTGGTCTCCATGCTTCCAGTGTGGAGGCTCTGAGAAGCCTCAGTAGCAGTGATGGGTGTTGTCCCCACTGACAGGACATTTGTGGAACTTGTTATTGACACATCAGAATTGACAGGTGTGGAACTTGGAGAAACTGTTGGAGATGTGATTCCTGTATTTCCTGAGGAGGACTCTATAGACAATGTTGTTGGCTTTTCTGACATGGCTGAGTTTGTGTTGAGGATGGTAGTAGTGAAAAGATTGGTTGTTTCAGCTGGAGATGATGTCCCATGGGACAGAGTCTGTCCAGGAGTTGAATCACTTGGGGAAGGAAAAAAACTTAATGTGGCCACCTCTGTGAGTGTGGTTCGAGGTGTGCTGCTGGTGTCCATAGTTTCAGTGTGGAGGTTCTGAGAAGATGTTGACAATTCGTGAGAGGAAGTGATGGGTGTTGTGACTGTCGACAGGACATTTGGTGAATTCGTCATTGACACTTCAGTATTGACAGATATAGGACTTTGAGAAACCGTTAACAATGTGATTCCTGTATTTCCTGGGGTGGAATCTGTAGATAATAGTGTTGTTGGAACCTCTGATATGGTTGGTTTGGTGCTGGTGACACTGAAGGTAGAGTGGTTGGTTGTTTCTTTTGCAGATGATAGCGCTTGGGACACTGTCTGTGCAGGAGTTGAGCCACTTGGGGAAGTAGGAAAACGTGATGTGGTCACCTCTGTGAGTGTGGTTTGAGGTGTGCTGCTCGTCTCCATGGTTTCAGTGTGAAGGCTCTGAGAAGATGTTGTCAGTACCTGAGTAGCAGTGATGGGTGTTGTGACTGTTGACAGGACATTTGGTGAATTGGTCATTGACATATCAGTATCAACAGGTGTAGAACTTGGAGAAGCTCTTGG